GTGATGGCTTCACTAGTGCACAGGGTTAAGAATTTTGTTTTGTATCTAGACCATGATGACACTATCAGTGGGCTAGATTGGGATGACCTAGTTGTAAACCCAATTGCATCCTTGCCCAAGGGTCTGAGCCCTCGCAATGTTGATAGAGTTCCTAGTAAACAAGGTGAAAAGCTTCCAGAGTTCTATTGAGATCTGAGCCCTCCCAGTGAGACTGATGATGACTCTGACTTCTAAGACTCAGACTATGAAATTGATCAGGATGATGATGATTTGTTAGAAGATGGTGTGGATGACCAAGTGCCAGATGAGGGAGTTGCCACAGGCAAGAAGATATAGAAAGGAAGAAGGCACAAAAGGGCAAACAAATTCACAGTATTGTTGATGATATGTCAACTGATGATGAAGATTTGCAGCTGCCAGACTTAGATGGAGAAGGTGAAGGAGGCTTGAGGTTCATTAATTTTAGAGACCAGGATGTGGGCAATCCAATATTCAAGGTGGGTATGCTCTTTGAATCGGTTGAGGTACTTAGGAAGGCTGTCACTGAGTATAGTGTGAAGCAAAGAGTGGACATCTGGTTCTCAAGGAATGAGCAGAAGAGGTTGAAGGCACACTGTGCAGATGGATGCCCTTGGTTGCTGTATGGATCAGTGGACAACAGGTCAAATGGAATGGTCATAAAAACCTACCAAGGTACCCACAACTGCCAGAGGAAGTGGGTTGTTAAGAGGTGCACCTCCAGGTGGCTAGCAGAGAAGTACCTATAATCATTCAGGGCTGACAAGAAGATGACCCTAGCTAACTTTGCAAGGGTTGTTCAAAAGGAGTGGAACCTAACTCCATCAAGGTCCTAGTTGCAAAGAGCTAGAAGGCTGGCCATGCAAACAGTAATGGGTGATGAGGTGGAGCAGTACAAGTTGTTATGGGATTATGGCAATGAGCTTAGAAAATCAATCACTGGTACCTCTTTCTTTCTGACACTGGATGGTAACATCTTCAGTACACTATACTTGTCTTTAGATGCTTGCAAAAGGGGATTTCTGTCTGCTTGTAGGCCTATGATATTTCTAGATGGCTATCACATAAAAACTAAGTATGGGGGACAGATTCTTACTGCAGTAGGCATAGACCCCAATGACTGCATGTATCCCATCGCACTTAGAATTATTGAGGTTGAATCACTTTCATCTTGGACATGGTTTCTAGAGACATTGAAGATAGATCTTGGTATTGCGAACACCTTTCCCTGGACCATAATAACAGACAAACAAAAGGTGATGACGACACTAGTTGCATCTATTTATTTCAAGTGCCACAATCAATTGCTCTACAATTCTAACCATCTTATTGCTATGCAGGGCCTCATTCCAGTAGTGCAAAAGGTGTTTCTAGAATCAGAGCATAGATTCTGTGTGAGGCACTTATACTCAAATTTCCAACAACACTTCAAAGGTGAGAATCTAAAAAACCAACTCTGGTCTTATGCTAGATCTAGTTCAGTTCCTCAATGGAACAGAAACATGGATAAGATGAGGACACTAGATAAAAAGGCTTATGAATGGCTAGAGAAGATGCCACCACAAACTTGGACTAGAGCATTTTTTAGTACCTTTCCAAAGTGTGATGTTCTTCTAAACAACATGTGTGAGGTTTTTAACAAATACATTCTGGAGGCAAGGGAAATGGCCATCCTAAGCATGCTTGAGCAGATCAAGGGTCAGCTGATGACAAGGCACTATACAAAGCAGAAGGAGGTGGGAGAAGAGTGGCTAGGACACACCTGTCCCAAGATTAGGAAGAAACTAAACAAGAACACAGAGTGGGCATCCACATGCTATGCTATGCCTTCTGGAGAAGGTATTTTCTAGGTTTAGGACAGAGACTACCAATTTATTGTGGATATCAAGGAGAAAAAGTGTGAATGCAGAAGATGGGACCTAACTGGAATTCCATGTGCACATGCCATTTCTTGTCTGAGGCATGAAAGAGTTGCACCTGAATCTGTGCTACCAGAATGCTACTCCACTACTTCCTACCTACTTGCTTATGGACAACATATAAGACCATGCAGGGACAAAAATACATGGGACAAGGTGGCAGCAATAGAAATACTTCCTCCTGTTTATGATAAGAAGGTGGGCAGGCCTCCCAAGTCCAGAAAGAAGCAGCCACATGAGTTTCAAGGCCCCCAAGGTCCAAGATTGTCAAAACATGGTGTCACCATGCACTGTAGGTATTGTGGAGATGCAGGCCATAATAAAAAGGGATGTGCCTTGAGAAAGGCTGGTGTCCTACCACCAAGGCAGACAAGCAATGCCCAACTAGAAGAACAATCCCATCTAGGAGGACGCCAACCAGAAGAGATGGATGATGATGGGCCAATATAGAGCCAGGTCTATGTGAAGTGTTTTTTTATGTACTGACATTTTTGCCATGCTCTATGTGAAATGTTTTTTATGTACTGACATTTTTGTGCACACTATTATATAGGTGGTTATGTGGTCAGACTCCACTATTCCTTTGATGAGCCAACTCAGTGCCACCATGGTATCACATATGGAACAAGAGGTCAGTCAACTTCCAGCCCATCTTAGCCTTTCAATAGCTATATTTCTTAACTGAAATAATTTTATGTTGCAGTCAACCTAGAGTAGGATACAAGTGAACCAACCTCTCCCTGACTCAGCTTTAATTAGCTCTAATGTTCCAGCAGCAAGACCTGTGCCTCTAACCACAATATCCAAATCTGGGAGAAAAATGATTGCAACCATGAAGGCACAAGAACTACACCTGTAGAAGAAGAAGGCTACTGGTGGGAGGAAGAAGGCTCCAACTAAAGCTAAAAACTAGATTCATGCATGTGTGATATGTAATCCTTTTGTAAAGCAGCAAAACATTGTCTGTTGCTTCCTTCTTTTGTGCAGCAGTAACTTAATTGCTAGCAGCTTTTGTATAGCAGCCACTTCACTGCTAACTTTTGTTCAGCAGCTTACCTGATAGCTTTTGGATAGCAGCAACTCTAAGTGCTACCTAGATAGAATGGTTGGGGACTGCAGTAATGTGCATTGTCAGACTAATTTGCAGCAGTAATGTGCATTGTCAGACTAATTTGTTTGCTGGTTATGGTAGTATGCTGAAACATATGGTTTCATTCACAAATGATTTCAGTTACAATGACCTTACTTTAGTTACAAACAACATTCATTCAGTTCTTTACAAGAATGGCACACAACAGCAACAAAAGCACAAACAAGATACATAATAGGAGAAGGCAAGCAACTTTGCACAAGCCAACCAGCACTTTGCACAAGCCAACCAGCTTCTTTATCTCAGTCAAAGCACCAGCTATTGAGTCCTTAATATTTGAGTCACCACTAGTGTCAAGTATTGCTGCTTTATTTATGTTGGAATCTGCACTAGTGTCCTTAACATTGACTGAATCATCACCCAACTTGCCTTCTCTTCTCAGTTGCTCTAGATATGCAACGTAGTTATCCTTCTAGTAGAAAAAGGGCACCCGATTCCATTGGGCTGCAGGAAACTAGATCCATCACCAATGAAAGGTGGTAATCCAAAATCAGTGTGCCAAAATAGCAAAAATGAAGGAAATCACAAGGAACACAATCTACACTGACCTTGTTGGTTGGACAACAGAAGAACACCTCTCCTTTGCTCCATGGTTTCGTTGAAACCCGGCGTACCACTCGCCTCCGATTGCAATTGGTGCAAATAATCAGTGGTATACCATCTGATGTCAGCGGATTTGAAGCCGATACAGTGGATCCAACCTCCATACTCGTGGATGAAATGGTGAATGGCGCCGGCGGTAAGCACACAAAGAGAAGGGGAACAATTTGGTCAGCCGGTGGAGAGTGAGGAAGAGAGATAGGAGGATGGGTTGCCATTTAATAACTCAGGTAAGGACTTAAATGCATTCTTCCACCAACCATTCTGGCGCCAAAACTCCCGCCAAATCCAACCTGGACGCCACATGGACAGCCACGTTGGTTAAAAAATTGGAACACAGCGGTATGGGCTAGCAATGCGTCACTAACAAAGATGATGGACCCAAAAGCCCACTTTCAGAGTTGATGGACCTAAGTGAAACTTGGGTACAAGTTGATGGACTACTGATACATTTAACTCATTTAAATTTAATAACCCTTCATCGTGTAATCATGCTCACTATATGATTCAGTATAGATTGGTGATACGTCGTGTACTATATATGTTCTAGGAGAGTTTGAGCAAGATTGTAAGTACATTAGTGGGTCCGAACCAACATATGAGAATGCATCTTGGTACCCTATGCCTCTAGAGTATGATTTTCTTTCGAAACACACCCCCTATAGATCAAGGTGATGATCGGATATGGTTCAAATTGTTTTGTGTGGATTGTTAATGGGAGGAACAAGCAAACATAATGTTTGTGAAGCTGTTGCACATGCATGACACTACGCATTAAAAAAATAATTTGTATAGCACTAGCGCATCTTACTTTTCTTATCCTGCAATATCACAGCCTTTTCTATATATATATATAATAGTCAGAGCATCATGCAGAGTCCGATCATCTAATGCATGATACGATCATTAGATAAATCTCTAAACCTCCTAAGCCCATGCAAGTTACAGAAGCGCAGGTCCAAACACATTAGGAGTCCACGGTGAGCTCAGCCCCACTCATTGTGACCACCATGCATTGGGCGAGGCAGTTTCTGATGTAAGATACGGGAGCATCAATAGTAGCATGGTGAATGTGAATAACCCGTCGCAACGCTCGTGCACTTTTGCTAGTATACCTAGAAAAGCCAAAATAATCTATAATTTGAGACAAAGGGAGTACAATCTTGAATGTTAGATGTAAATTTGTTTTACTCCTAGGATGTACTCCGTAGGATCAATCCATATTTGTAGTGTAATTCCGTCGAGGCTCGAGCAATGTCAAGCTGTTACTTTTCACTGGACTCTATCAGCGGTCAATACACACACACAAAAAATCAAGGTATCAGGCCTGGATACATTTCTCTATTCACAGTACACACGATGAACGCATATACAGCAACTAACCTGTTTGGTTGAAATTACAAGGCGCATTACAATTAACTTTGAGGACGTCAAGGTACAAAACTCCGAAGTCAATCCGAGGAATTCGTCTCATGGCTGTTTCTAACCTTATTCCATGGGCATGCTTTCAACAATCTGATGATCTGTAAACATATGTTGGAGAAATCCATAGATTTGGTACATTCCTCTCGCTGCTATTTTCACATGACAATTCAAGCTAAATGACCACAGAGGTTAGTTTGGTTGCTTTCTCTAGCATGTGCTGCATAGTCGTTGATGATAATCAACTCAACAACGGAGTGACAACAGATTGAACTGAGCCATTCTGCCTATGGCACATGCAGCACAGGAATAAAATGCTAAATTGGCCTTCATCTTTGGGCCGGAGTTTTTCGAGTTCTTGTTAGAATCATTGAGTTTGTGTTCGTTTACACCAAAATTTAGGAAGAAGAACACGGGAACTCAAAGCTTCTAAAATTATATCATGAAGGAATCGATTAGATGAGAATCGGTATCAGCTGATTTAGATGTAATGTCAGAATCGATTATTTTATGGATGACGTCAGCAGACGGCGTCAATGGACTATACTTGAGTGGCGCTAGGGAGATATGTCGGACTCTGCTAATAAGGAAAATTAGGGTCCAAGTTATTATTTAGGAAGTTTTCTTTTATTCCAAAAATTATAATGAGTCGTATTTGAGTAGAATTCATATTTAGGTTCCGGTATAAATATTAGACCCTGGATATTGTAAAGAGGACGAATATTCAATCAATACAATTCTTTCCGGCTTTCGCCATCGCATTAGGAGTAGGAGTACTGTAGATCTCGACGAGTTTTTCAGCAAACAGAGCTGCATCTACTGATCGACCTCCAGCTTGCTTGTGAGTACCGTCACGACTTGTATTATGCTTGTAAAGCTGCATCAACTGATTGATCTTTTATGAGTTATAATATAAGTTAGTTATCGATCTGTATCGTAGTTTGTAAGGCTACATCAGCTGATTGATCTCTTACGAATCATAATATAGATTAAAATTATCGACCTTATGTTAAATAACTTGTTTAATATAATATCACCCGTTATCGAATCTACTAAGATTAGTAAGATTTTTCTTGCTGTTTTTGGTTGATTCAGCAGTTATCGATCTTGCTATAATTAATATTTTATTAATTATAACAAAATCACCCGATTGAGATAGAGATAGATCAGCATCATATCATCTTAATTAGTCGTCCTTTGATCTGTTCATGCTTCAAATCTTATAATTGATGGCTTAATTCCGATAGATCGATTGTTTTATCTCTATTCCAGTCAAACATAGTATGTATCCAAAGACATGTTTCAATCTTGAGTAAACTCACTAGTTAATGAGATCTAATCTAATGACACTGTCATAGCTGCATCGATCCGATCGAACCTCACTGGTAAGATTTTAGATTAGAAATTATCGATTAGTAGTCTTATTCATGATCAAGATATGTACTCTGTTTGTTTGCTATGACTGTATCGGCTATTTTAGCCGATTTGCCTATACTCTCATGTATTTAGCATGTTTTCATGAATCTGTCAACATATAGATGATTTTATAGATTCTTTGGCTTTAGTTTATTATCATTATCATATCTGCATCGATCCGATCGAACCTCACTATCGATGATAATAGATTAGATTCAAATTGTTTGTAGATTCATTTATATCAGATAGTCGATTTGTTCGTATGTTATACTTTTTTCATCAAATTTATCGGCTCGACACTTTATATCGATCATGTTCCATTTAGCCGATGATGCTTTCTTATATCGTTTCTTATGGATGCGCCGGATATCGATTATTTAGTCGATAGCCTTGTTGAATCGGCTATCTAGCTGTATATTTATAACTGTTTGGTGCAAAACCGACATGTTCCACTTTAAATTACTGATAAGATTTTCTCTTCTTGTTAATTACAGGTCAAATTGACTGGCACGTCGTTGTGTTTTTAGAATCAGCTAGTTCTGTGTTAAAGTCAAGCAGATCTCTGATCTCGTTTCACTTAGATCTTCCAGCTTGTTGTGTGTTGATCACGTAGCTATATTTTTGTGTCAACAGACACTTGGTTTTGCTCCGGCTAGTTTCAGCTGTGCGAGAAGTGGACGAACGTTGGCTCGTCCTAAATCCTGTGCGCTTTGCAGTTTCCGGCTTCAGCTTAGCCCTCACTGACCGAGAAGGAACTTGCATTTTCTGCATCGAGCTTGCACCCTGTTTATCCTTTTGAACAGATCCTTGCTGGATTTGACTCTGGTCACTACTAACATAAAATTCCCCAAAAACAACTGATGCTGAGATACCCTGAACAAGGAATATTTAAATATATACAAAATCAGAAGAAAAAGAGAAAACTGAAATAAAAGAATAATGAACAGAGAAGAAATTTTCTAACAAATTAAGTATGATCAAGAAAGCAAAATCAATCATGTATGTTCATATTCCTGGCATGTTAAAGAAGAACACAGCAATAACAAAAAACAGATCATCTTTTCCAATGCCATGGCATTTTTTTAAGATGATAATACAATGCCATACTAGGATCATGAACATTATAATACTAACAGGGGTATCTACAAATATCACCTTATTTTGAATTGGAGAGGCTTCTGGACCCTGAACTTGCTCCTCTTCGGAATCATCCATTTCCTCACATTCAAACTCAACATGCTGGCTATCTTCCTCGGAATCACTTAATTCTTCTTGCTCCATTACAATTCCTTGCATTGATTCTTCATTAGGTTCTTGAATGCAATGATGAAAATGGGAATTTACAACCTCGAGGTCTGGAACACTTGATTTGTCCTTCCTAGAAACTTCATCTTGAACATTTGATCTGCTAAAACTACTTCTGAAGTCATTTGAATCTTTTATGGCCGTTGGAGAACATAAATGAATGTTCAAGTCAATACTTGTCTCCCTCTCAGAAGGGCTTGTGGATGCTTGCCCAGCTGTTGACTGGTCATCTACTGGGACTTTGCTCATGTTATTATCAGGAGCCTGTTCGGCAGGCTGTAACTGCCTGTATCTGGTTTGGCTTATCAGACAACCAATAATGTTTTTCTCTCACACCAAACCAGCCAGCAGTATTTCAGTCCATGACTTATAAGTCAATCCAGCTGAAACGAACAGGCTGCAGACTTATGGTAATCAAGGTTACTATCATATTCTGCTACTTCATTATGCACATCAACTTCCATTCTTTGCAAGAGAGGATGGAAGTCGATAGTGTTAGCATTTACAGTACCATTTTCGGTGGAACCTGTAGTCTGGCTGTTACTTCTCTCAATTCGAACTTTCTCTAAGGGGAAAAGATCATATTTTCTTGACTGATTAATAAGATTTTGAACCAGGTGACTATATGACGAAACCACATCTCGAGAATACTGAAACAGTAAAGGATGCATCTGCAAATCTTGCTCAGCACCATCCTCCGTAGCATTATCATTAGAGATCTCATTCTGCTGCAATCTAGAATTAGCTCTGTGATCAGGGAACAGATTTAGCTGTCTATAAGCACTTTCTGTAAAGGCCAGAGGTGGCAAAGGATACATATTCTTTTCTGCATGATCCAAGGTGCCATGAGTGTGTTGCGTTCGGATGAAATGCCACCTGAGATAGGACACGGACAGAAGGTGGAAGGTTCACAGGAGGCAAGTCTGGAGCCAACTTGACCACACAACCACCTTTCTCTTTACTCAATTTGGAAGCCGGCAGTTGGTCCAGAGATCCACATGATACCACTGGAGCTGCAGTGGAAGGTGTTCTCACATATGATGGGCCATCAGAGGGGCAGTACATAAAAGGTATATATGAGGTGGTTACATCAAGTTTCGCACCACTTCCTTTCTGCGGTTCAATGTAACCACATGTAGCACCACATTCTTCATTGACACCTGTGCCTGACTGCATCATCATGCTTTTTCCAGCATGTTTTGATAAGGACAGCTGACAAGGCATCAAGTTCATGCTCCTACTATCTGTGTCTTCCAAAAATGCTTCATTGACATATGAATCATCATCATTTTCAACATCTTCAGAAGCATTGTTATCAGCCTGCGATGGAAGCATAAAAAAATTATGCTTAATGACATCACTTTAGATGGATATTAAGATATTATTTGGATATAATAAGTTAAAGAAACATACTAACCTCTTGTCCACAGTGTGAATCGGGCATGGATGCTCTAAGCTTTCTCCTCTTTGCTTCATATGTTCGCCTTCTTTCTTTTGCAGCATCACTTTTAGTGTAAGATTTCTGGACTCCACTTGCAACTCTCCATTGACGTTGGAGCAGTGAAGGATCTCTATGTGGCACTACAAACCTCCAAACTGATGTCCAGTCGTTTTTGAATACCCTCAGCCCCGGAAATCACAGTAAGTATGGAAGAAACTAAGCGACACAAATCAAGCATGGAAAATAGAAGATAGCCTGTAGTCACAAGTTATCACCTCCTGGATACATTGTTTCTCCTCGACTGTCAATGGAGATGTCTTCATATGGCGCACATCCTGCATTAATTCAGATAAGAATATAGTTAGTTCGAAGGCTATTATGTTGGGTTTTGCTGATAGCAGTCATGAGCTCAAAATCTATCATATCCTGATGATTGACCATGATAATACACAACATGGCCAAATCAACCCAACCCAAATCAGTATCAGAACAAGGCAACACGCAGACAAACTCTTTCACAACATACATACTTACTCTTTGAAAAAATCTAGTAGCCAGAGGTTGAATAATATAGCGCCACGCACAAGCAGAGCAACATGTGCCACTAAGAGAGTAGTAAAAAACCATCTCTCCAGTTTTCTACTGAGTACGTTATTAATCAAAGGTGATCAAATCTTGTCAAGAAATTGAAATAGCATACTACTATTTTGTTGGCACATAAGCAAAATGATAGATATCAGAATGAGATAGATAAAAATGATCAACAGTGTAAGTGCTGCGGCAGAAACTTCGCTACCTAACACAATACAGGATTTTATAAAGCACTCTCTTCATTGTTTAAAGACCAGTTCAAAACCAGAACTTGAATACTACACAATATAGAATGAGAACAAAATACTGCTATTGTTAGCATGAACTGCTGATCTGTTACACTACTATGCAACTCAATGGACACCTTGACCATAATGTTGAACCCTAAAAGGCACATGAAAGTGAATTCAGCATCTTATCTTCTAGTAAGTGAAGAAGGGGAAAACATTTACCTTAATTGGATTATCAGGAGCTTTGGAGGAGCTACGATTCTTTTGTCTCACAAATATCTGCACCAAAGAATTATTTCATTCAGCAAGCATAATACGCAAGTCCAGAACAAGGAATTCTCAAATATCATGAGCAACTACCAATTTATAAGACCACCAATAGGCATTATAGAAATTGAACAAACAGAAGATTAGTTGAAGGATCCACCCCAGCGGAATGAGCAGGAGAGCTGCGTGTAATTTCATTAAGAAAAATAAATGGAGAAAAATCCAAGATTACTTGCTTGTGCGATCAAAAGGAAAACAAAGTAAATTGGCAACAAACCTTTGTGACAATAAAATAAAATGCTCAGACTTCAGAATCTTTATTGAGCCAGCTTTGGCAGTACTGAGAGCAGACATCAACTTTAGGCCACGAGTAATGCCAGCAAGGTCAAAAATGTCATTGCCATGTCAATACAGTCAAAACAACTGTTTTTCTAATACTGATTCCTTGAAGGCATTTCATGTCCTTCATTACTCTCAAAAAAAAAATCGTTAGATGGTTATGGCTGCTGTGTTTGCGGTACGGTGGCAATGGAGTGGGCGGCGTCGGCGAGCCTCGACTACGCAGATGTAGTCTTAGCCAAGGTTGGAGCGAGGTTTTCCCCTCGGCTCCCTATTTTGTTGAAGAAGAGGAGATAGAGATTAGGCTAATTCATTCTTGATTGATTCTGTTTGGCCGAGTGGCTTACATAGGCCTCCGGCCAGCTCTCAAACAAACTCCTAAATTTACTCTCTTATTCCTTAAATCTCTCAAATTGCTAACCTTCCTAGCTAAGTCCTAGACCTGCCTGTTTGGCGTGATCAGCCACTGCTGTTGCCTGATGTGGTCGCTAGCCCCTTGCTGACATGTCAATCTTCACTAAATAGATGATAAAAAGAACTAATAATTTATGCCTGACAAATCATAAAAGGAAATTTAAAAACTTTTGGATCTTGAAACAAATTTTGCAATCAAAAGGAGTAACGAAAAAATACCTGATGCTTTGATTTACAAGGAAGAAAGCGCTTTTGTATTGCTGCCCAGTCATTGTTATATTCCAGAATTCCTAGAGCTAATAATCTGCAAGCAGATAATATACTATAAAATTAACTGTGAAAAGAAGTGACAGGCATCATATCAACTATACACTTGAGGAGGGCATTACATGATGTCCTTTAGGCAAGTGGTAATAACAACGAAGCAGCCATGATACAATTATACAAAAGGAGGCGATCTTGAGGAAAGTTGAAAAAAAGATGAATGGAATAGCTGTGATGCAGATGAGGAAGTTAACACACAATTTGCATAAACCAACACCACTAATACAGAAACAAAAATAGTATGCAGTCCAACAAAAACTAAGTATTCAGATTTCTTGATTTTCTTTGTTTTTTAGTCAAGAAGGCAAGGAAGCATGCACAACTTATATTTCAAAAGAAATCTTGGAGAAGATGTACAACACACCTGTCCTCTGCATCAGTGAAAAGCACTCTACTGGCCATAGCTGAAGGAGGTGACTTATGAGGAAAGAGTGCAAAATTGAAAAGTGAAAAGAATCTCTGTGCTAATCTTGCAATACCAGCAGGAACAAGAGCAACTGTATCCTTTTTAATATTCTCAAGCAGGGTAGAATCCAACCAAAGGTGCAACTGACTGCAAAGACAAATTGGAGGAGGACTATGGCATCAAGTTGAAGTACTCCAAGGCATGGTTAGGTATGAAGTGTGCATTGGAGCAGATCCATGGTACATATGAGGAGAGTTTTCAGCTGCTTTTTAATTGGGCTGCTGAAATTCAGAAAGTGTCCCCTGGTAGCTTAGTATAGATAGAATTAGAGAAAGTTGGTAAGAAGAACAGGTCAAGAGAATATTTGTTGCTCTTAGACCATGTGTTGATGGATTCCTAGCTGGGTGCAGACCTTTTATTGGGGTAGATGCTTCCTGTTTGCATGGTAAATACAAAGATCAGTTAGCTTCAGCTACCGATGTTGATGGACACAACTGGCTGTACCATATAGCTTATGCAATTTTTGAGTCAGAAACTGAAGATAATTGGAAATAGTTTCTGCAGCAGCTGCATAAGGTTGCAGGAGATGTTCCAAATTTGGTTATATTGTACAGATGCTTGTAAAGGACTAGAGACTGCAGTGGGGGCTGTCTTCCTACAGGCTGAAAATAGGGAATGCATGAGACATTTGTACCAAAATTTTATGAAGAAATACTCTGGTGATGTGTTCACTAATCACTTGTACCCTACAACTAGAAGCTACACACAGGGGCTATTTCAGTGGCATATAAAGAAATTTTTTTAGTTTGCACCTGACTCCATTGAATACCTTGAGCAGCACCACAATAGGATCTGGTACATGTGTGCCTTTTTAGAGAACAACAAGTGTGACTACTTGACAAATAATGTATTAGAGAGCTTCAATGCATAGATAAAGAAGTTCAAAGGATTGTTACTGCATGAATTGGTTGACAGAATCAGAGAACTCATAATGGAGAAGAGATACATAAGGAAGATGCTTGCTAGGCAATGGGCATATGGAATACTCCCTGATGTGACTAAGGAGCTCAACTTGATCAGCACTAAGATCAAAGTGGTGAAAGTATCTATTAGTGATGTTGATATTGTAGAAGTAACCATCTTAGATGACTGAAATAATCAGAAGAGGGCAACAGTTGACCTCCAGAACCACAAATGCTCCTACAAGAGAGTGGCAGGTGATAGGGAAGCCATGCAAACATGCTTTGGCATAGATTCTATCCAACAGAGGGTTAAAAATTGAAGATTTTGTCCATGACTACTACTAAGTGGCTAGGTTCAAGGCAACCTATGAGGACAGAGTCGAACCAATCCCAGATAGATCCTAGTGTCTAGTTGTGGATCTTGGATTTAAAGTGCATCCACCCTTGCTAGGCAGAGAAGCAGGAAGACCAAAGGTCCAAAGGCAGAGAGGATGCTTGGAGAAAAGAGCATAAAAAAGAAGGTAAAATGTAAGAGATGTGGAGATTTTGGCCACTTTGCAAAAACTTACAAACTGGCAGAGATTAGAGAAGATGGTGAGAGAGCACCACCTAGGAACAAGGATAACAAAAGGTATCTTTCTGTCCACTACAAATGTCTCACCTATTTTCACTACACAATATGTAATGTTACCTTGCCAATGTAGGAAAAAAGCTCCAATAGACGAAGCTGGACCCTCCCAAACCAAGAAGCAGAAAGTTCAGAAAGAAGAAGAAGGGCAGCCCCAAAAAGAAGAAGACACCTATCAAGAAAAAGCTCAAGGAGGCTGGTCTATGAAGACTAGATCTGCTTAGGATCTACTTTTGTAATAAATTTGCAACTTGTATGCTGGTGTGGTTTGCTTTTGAGAGAACCTTGTAGTTGGTATGTTGCTATCTTGGCTGTTGGTATGCTCGAACTTGTATGCTGGAACCTTTTAGTTGCTAAGCTTGTATGTTCGTGCTAGAACCTTGTAGTTGGTATGCTGGAACCTGGAATGTTAATTTAAGAACTTATATATGTTGGTGCTCAGTTCTATCCTACATCTCTAATATTATCTGAGTTTGCCATTCCAACATGTGATGTCCAATATGGCATTTATCTCTGTTAGCTAACCAAAGATTTGAAATGATTGGATAGAAGACAAGATGTTGATTGATTCAACATAACACAGTTCATTTCATTGGTACCATACAACCACACAAACACACAAGAGCTAACTCACACACACATTAGCTGACTAACACAGACATTAGTTGTTCACTTCCACATACAGGCAACCACAACACCAATCAGGACACCAACAAAGTCCACAAAAATAGAATAATCAATCACAATTTGCTTTGGCTTAGGCTTTGGCTCATGAATTGGCTTAGGAATCAACTCTGCAGGCTTCACCTTCACTTTCCAAAGTTCAGCTACAACATTATCAAGTGTTTGCTTCAACTCTTGCAATTCTTCTTTCAATTCAGAGCAATAGTCACCAGATGCCTCCTTCTTAGCCTTTAGTCAGTGTTCTTGTGCTTCCAACTTCACCTAGATGGCTTAGAGCAGTGGAGGAGCTTCAGCACGAGTTGGTGATTGTTCATGGTCGGCTCCAGTGATTGTGAGGGGTCTTGCACCTTCCCCGGTGAAGCGCTGCAAGGTAGCTCTAGTAAATTGCTCGTGTCATTGAGTTACCTCATTTGTGGGTAGGTTCTTGCGGTGTCTAATTGTGTGGACGAGGTTTGTGCAACACCTCTTAGCCGTCGAACCATCAAGTGTTGGTCAACACAATGGGGACTAGCGTGCCAACAAGCACGTGAACCTCAGGAGAAAAATTGGTTGTCTCTTGCCCTTTGGTATTCTCCTGGTGATTGAATCGGTATTCATCTTGTGATTGGTTCACTCCTCTACGCGGTAGTATAATCACCCTACTCACTCATTTACATTCCTGCAAACTAGTTGTAGCAAGCTCTTTAGTGTAGCTAGAATTGAGAGCTTGCTTTGTAGCTTAAGATCATCTAGTGGAGCTCTTTAGTGTAACAAGTGTGAGAGGTCTTAGTGGGTAGTGACTTAGCCAATTATGTGCCTAGTGATTATAGTAACTAGAATTGTAGGATAGGTGGCTTGCAACTCTTGTAGAGCTAGAGCAAGTTTGCATTTTGCTATTTGTCATACTAATCAAATTGCTCTAGTTATCTTGTAGATTTTTAAATAGGCTATTCACCCCAACCTCTAGCCATATTAGGACCTTTCAAGTGGTATCAGAACCATGGTCACCATTTCATTGAAGGCTTAACAACCTCGGTGTCAAATTATGGCTCAAGTTGTGTTCAATCATGTGGGGGCAAACCACCATTCTTTGATGGCATATGCTATGATTGTTGGAAGAGAAAGATGAAGATGTATCTTGGTTCAATCAATGATCAAGTGTGGGATGTGACCAAGAGTGACTATGCTATCATTGATCCTGACAATCTTACCAACCAAGACAAGGCCAACAAGCAATGCAATACAATGGCTCTCAACACCATATATAATGCCATTGATTCCAAGGTGTTTGAGCAAATCAAGGATTATGATAGAGCTAATGAGGTGTGGAAGAGATTGGAGGAAACATATGAGGGCACACCAGCGGTAAAGAGTGTCAAGTTGTATATTCTCAAGGACAAGTTGACAAGCTTCAAGATGAAGGAAGATGAGAGCATTCTAGAGATGTTCCATTGATTACAAGTGATTATCAATGATATGAAGGCATTGGGTGAGAAGATCAATGATGATGATGTATCTCATTGGTTCTTGATGTGTCTACCTCCAAGATTTGAGATTTGAGATTGCTCATCATAAGAGGAGGATTGAAGGAGATCACCCCTAACCAAGTACTAGGTGATGCATGACTCAAGAGACATACCGTGTGGAAAGGGAGGGGGTTGACAAGGATGACAAGAAGGAAGATGAAGACAAGAAGAAGAAGAATGTAGCATTCAAGGCTAGCTCATCATCCAAGAACAAGGGCAAGTCCAAGAAAGTATCAAGTGATGATGAAGATCTTAGTGACATTGATGATGAGGCCATGGCTCTCTTTGTGCGCAAGATGGATAAGTTCATGAAGAAGGGCTATGGTGCAAGAATGAGAACAGATCACAACAAGGAATATGTGAGGAGATGCTACAAGTGCAAGAGCCTGGATCATGTTATAGTGGATTGTCCCTACAATAGTGACAATGATGAGGATGACAAGAAGAAGCATAAGAAGGATAAGAAGGAAAGGAAGGAGAAGATGATGACCTTCCAAAAGAAGAAGAAGGGTGGAGGCTATGTGGTCACTTGGGATAGTGATGGCTCTTTGGATAGTGATGGCTCTACTAATAATGACAAGAAATCTATCAAGAAAGCACTAGCAAGCATCGCCATCAACAACAAGTCTTCCATCTTCGACACTCCATCGACATGCCTCATGGCAAAGCCTATCAAGATAAAATATGATGTGAGTGATGTTGATGAATATGAAAGTGATGCTTGTAGGAGTGATGATGATGAGGAGGAGGAGTACACCAAGGAGCTCATGGACATGTGTGAGCAAGTACACACTTGCTTTGAGATAAAGAGAAATGAGTGCAAAGAATTACGCAAGAAAGTCAAATTTCTTGAGCAATCCTTTGATGAGCTCAATGCCACTTATGAGAGGCTAATGGAAGCCCATGAGAAACTTGGCAAAGCTCACTCTAAGCCTGAAAAGGCTCACTCCTCTCTCATCGAGCAAGTCAAGAAAGAGGAAGCCAAGAAGGAGCAAGTGATTGTGTCTTGTGATGTGGGACTAACATGTGATATTATTGATGAATCTTTTTATAAGCCCATTGTTGTTGCTCTCACTAAACCGTCTTGTAGCACTTCCACTTCCACTTCACCTTTGAGTGATGGTGAAAGTGTAATCAAGCCCTAATTGTGGATTTTGGTGATAATGACCACGCAATTAGAGGACTAATGAGATTTATCGAGATGACAAGCAGGGAAT